ATAAAAAAAAATTGGCTAATGAATGCAACATTATTCTACTTGATATCAATTGCAAGTTATTTAAATTATAAATCATGTAATATTATAAATTAATTTTTTATTATAGAATATAGACCTTTCTTATTGCAATAAAAATTGTATCATATTTTCTATACATAGATCAAAATTTTGCCAAAAAATCTTTCAAATTATCCAATATTGAATTACATCATTTAAAAAAATATTAACTTCCTTAATTATTCTTGCATTTGTGACTTTGCATTTTTTATTTTGACATCTTTATCATGATAATACTTAGAAGAAAATAGATATCTAATATTACTCAAAAAAATAAAAGAAAGAATTTGAGAATAAAGAAATTAATATCAATTTCAATGAGGGTCATCCATAACTTCTAATATACTTATGTCTTAATAAGAAAAAGGGATAATTTACTCTTAATAAAAAAAAGATAAAGCTTTGATATTGTAAGTGAACTCTTGTCAATCTATTAAGGACAAAAATTCAATGAAAAATAAATAAATAATTGAGACTTTCTCAAAGAAGTTTTACAAAATAGAAATAAAGAAGTATGTTTATTAAAAGGAAACTAGAATTGTTATTTCCAAAAGACAAGAGAACTAGAGACTTCTTGAAATTAAATTAGAAGCAAGAAAGGAGTTAACAAGAGTAAAGAAGGCTTTACTCTTACCTCTATATATACTATCTATCTACGAGCTATATGATGAAATTCTACAAGACCTCCAAAACATGTTGACTTTACACAACACATATCTTAATTTGCAAGGTAAGTTTTCTATATGGGCACCACATAGTTAGATTGTTTTGCAAGCTATCAATATGTGTGGCATGTAATTAACTTGCTGATTAAGTTTCTAATCTACCAATCAACTAAAAATATATATAAAGTCAAAGCAACGTCTATAAAGCTTTAAGAAGCTTTTTTAGAAGATATTATGAAATTATTTTATTTTTGGTTACTTCAATCTATTCATATTATTTAAGTAAAAATTATAATAAATATATATCCATGATAGATAGAAATTTTGGCATTGCTTAAGAATAATAGAATTAAAAGAAGCTTATACATGCTCTCACAATTGAAGCATTTTTTTGGCTAGTAGTGGGTACTCATTTAATTTTTGTTTTATAAGTTCTCAGACATGCTCAATTAGATTTACGTCAAGTGATTGAAGATTCTAAATAAGTACTTCAAAAAAATTTATTGACACCTATTTCTTGATTGATTTTACAACATAGTTAGGATTACTATCATTTTAAAATATGATACAAAAAATAAATTTGAAATAATACTATTCAAGTATCTTTAAAATCTGATCTTCATAAATGCTAACATATAATATTTTTTTTATTTCTTTTATCTTACATTTATAATTTATATCATATGAAGTCATATAATTCTATACAAAAATTACACCACTTATATGTTTAAATGTTTGACTCACATGACAAGCTTGTAATTAAGATTCTCCACCCTTCATCCAATACCAATTATAACTATTAACTTGAAATCAATTGATTTTAGTCTCGTTACTAAAAATGACCTTATATCAATTATAGATAATCCAATCTTGATGAAGTTGAGCAAATTCCAACCTACAATATATATTTTTGGTTGTAAATAGCTATTTCTTTTATTTTTCTAGTGATCTAAAATTTGATTTACAAAATGCACATCTTACTAAATAAGTACTCACTACTATATTCAAGTGTTTATTTAAAGCATTTTTCATGTCTACAACATTATTTAGTTTATCAATTATAATAGCTTGGTAGTATTTAAAGTTATTAGATCTTCTTCAAATCCAATTATTTTAGATTTATTATAGTAAAAAAAATATAATCCTTAAATAGATTAGATCACTTATAACCTTTATTTTTTTATAATATAATCTAGACTTTAGTTATTTAAGTAGAAAGTTAAAAGTCTAAATCATTTTCAATAGATTCTAGAGCTTTCATATATGCTACAAAAGAAAGGTCATTTTTTGTCATTTATTTCATACCCATTTTTCATGGTAGAAAGACTTCAAGCTAAATTTGAAGCCAATATCAAGATTATTAAGATGTTTTTGAAAAAAAAAATGTAAATATTCTTCCACAACATTGTTTTTATGATTGTTTGATTGATCTTTCAATAAGAACTCAACCACCATTTGGACCAATCTAAAGCTTATCACAAAATTAGTTGGCTACACTCAAGGAATACATTTACAAAAATTTGACTAAAAACTTCATACACCATTCAAAATCTCCAACATGAGTTGTTATCTTATTTGTGAAAAAAAAGATAGATCACTCTAGATGAAAAGTCCCAATTTAAACAATAATATGATGAAAAATCCCCATTTACATTATTATTCTTTTCAATGGCAAAGTCTTGTACTAACATGCTTAAAAAAATAAAAGTTTTGTGCAAGAGACAAACAACAAAGAAATAAATAAGGACCACAAACAAGTCCTACCATAGATTAACAACATAAAAATCAATTCATACATGTGCATGCTATAGCTTTTCCAATAATCAACCAGAATATTAGGTTGAGATCAAAGAGATGTTTCCACAAAGAGAAAAAAATCACCGGAGGTCACATGGAGTTCACCAAAGACCACATTTCCAAACTCTAGAATAATAAAAACCCGAGTTGAGAGCTCCAGCAATGCCACGCTCGCCCTGCTCTTGCTTCTGCTCACAGTGCTGCAGCGACAGTCGCTGCGGGGGATGCACAGCCAGCAGCTGGCGATGGGGGGGATCGCGCCCCAGGCCTCCGCTCTTGCTCCGCCTGCCCTGCTGTGCGTCGGAGCCGCCTCCCAATTCCCTGGCCTTCGATGTTACACTGCATCTTCTAGTTCACAATGGCGACAACCTCCCGGTCTATCTGTGCGCTCACGCTTCACTCATATTCTCACTCGATCCTGGTTGAAGCTTGCTTGCGCCGCTTGTCGCGTCGCCTTCGATTGCACCTCCTATTGCACTTCGGGCTTGAGCGTGGCCTTGTTGGGTTGGGTCGTATAATTCCTAGATCAAGCTGTAGTATGCATTTCGTCGCTGCCGCCGCGGTTGGAAGAATTCCTGAGTTTGGTGTAGATTGCTTCTCATGGGTGGGGGTCTGCCTCTTCATGTTCGGGATTACACACCGGAAAGGGCATTCCTAGCATGCTCATCATGGTCTAGTTTTGGAGTGTTGATTGGAGTGGTCTCCGGATTTTGTTGGGATGGAATTGGGCTACTCGAAGGTCGCCGAAATTGGGAAAGTCAGCTTCGGAATATGTTGGAGGGGATGATCCCCTCCATGGCTGCTGCAGCAAGGCGGGAACCATCTACAATTCATAAGAACTATGTCTGTGCTTTTATGTTGTTGCTGTGACGCGGCCCTGGTGACTAAGTGAGACTCTGAAGTTGGTTGTGAGCGAAGTTGTGTGCGAGTAGCACCGTGAGTTCATACAGGATGGTAGTTTGAGATTGCATGAGAAGATCGCCTGAATAGCGATTGAAGAGTCGTCAAACAGAGTGGAAAGCAGATTTGCGCGCTCCAACGAGAGGGGAAGGAGGGGTGGAACTCAGCACTAGAGGCTCAAAAGGGATCGGTCTGCAACATCCCAACATAGTGCAGACAATCATGGGGATAAAACAATGGAGAATTATTGACAAAAGCGAGAGGAGATTTTGTCCACGGTTTATAATTCTGAGGTGATGGATAGGGAGAATTAGCTGTGCCCTACCACTGGGGCATAATCATTGCGAGTTTCTTCGGTGACACTATCCCGAATCGCTTTAATGCACTAGTTGTACCTGATCTCAAGTGTAGATGACAATCAGTGAGCAAGGCATCATGTGCGGCAGCTCTGTCAAGATGCAGGATCGCCGTTCCTTCTCTACCCCACACCCCCCGCTTTCATGAAATGATCGCCTGTCGAAGAACCTGAACCCTCAGTTCTCTGTCCGTGCCTTGTGCGCGTGCGTGTGGTACACAAACTGTAGCTTTCCTAAGAGATCTTCTCCACCCACCATTGGATGGGACATAATCCAATTAGCACTAGGGCAGTACTTAGCTGCAGTTAGTTTTGCACCTGGTTCCTGCAGCCCATCTCTCGGCTCTCATTGCCATGTAACTTAGGAATGCATAAAGATAAGATATCATTTGCATGGTATATGTGATTCCAGTCTGAATTATTGTCGCGATGAATTCAAACTGTAAAGTTGCAGCAAACAGTCGCCACTGGCAAGGACATACAAACTTGTAGGCCCCCGATATTGTTATTTATTTGCAAGGTAATTATGTTGTCATTGAATGGGTCAGGTTGATATGCATTTTGATCGATTTAGTGGTGGAGATCATTAAACAAGTAACGTCCAAACTTTATCATACTGAGCACTTTTATTGAATAATTTAAATTATGACACTTGCAGATGGCCACGTCATCGACCGCGTGCTCCCTATTGAGTAGGAGAAAAATCTGATGGTTTATGTTATCTCGTAGTAGCCCAATTTTGTCTTGTCTATTTTCACCTGCTTCAGGCAACTTCACCGTCGTATTTAATGTAACTGACGCACTTTGAATTAGTTATGGGTCAGACTTGCGGAGAAAGTCGTGCAACGGTTGCGGGTAGGATTTATTTAGTCGTGATCTTCGACGTTTTATGAGATACAAAGCTAGTATTTTGAACAAAGTAATCTAGTTTCTGGCAGGCTGAACACAAGGAAATACAGGTGAAGTAGAAGAGAAATTCATAAAAAGGAACGTAGATGTAGCTCTTTGTGGTCAATCACTGCGGAAATCTGAAAGGTAGAAGATGGATTTGAGCTGCATATAAAATTTTGAACCAATGGCGAGAGAGCCAACATACGAAGATTCACCTGTCGGTTGATTTACCAGGTGTGTATGTTACGCGCTGGCCACCTAGGGTACCTTCATTGGGCAGGACGTAATCAGTGGTGTCAGAGATCAGTCACTTGTCCTGGAGTCGAAGATCATCGTCTGCCGCAGAAAGGAGAGACTAGTACTCCTCGACTCAATCAGATAAAAGAAACGTGCCTCGAGGAGAAATCCATGAGGCCTAGAGAGCATAAATGATTTCATCAGCGAAGTAGTCGAAAACAAAATCAGTCATTAGACTTTACAAGGAAGTGACTAACTTTGAGAAGATCGATGCATGCAGAAGAAGACGGCCAGATCTGTTGGCCATCCGACACAAGCTGAAACATTCTCTTCGACTCGTAGTACTACTGCTGGTGGTCATGGAGTCGGGCAGCTTGGTGCTTCAGGAAGTTCCCTAGTGCAGTCCTTCCAAAGGTGTACTTTGTGTATCTAGGTATTCGTTTAATCGTCCGACCGCGACAATCGTACCAAAATCCACGCGCTTGAGCAGAGTTTCCTCCCATAGTCTTGCTGCTAGACCACACCGAATAGGACAGGCAGTTAGGTTGACGGAAGAATGATCGGAGGCAGCCAAGCGCAACAGGAGACGAAGCTGGGCACAGAGCTGGGCGATGCTAACCACCCACTGTACAAGGGGGTGAGAAGGAGGCCATGGGGGAGTTGGGTGTCGGAAATCCGAAAGCCCAAGTCCAAGTCCCGCATTTGGTTGGGATCGTTTGACACTGCCGAGATGGCAGCTACAGCATACGATACTGGTATTTGATTTACTTACTGTGGATGATTCCTCGATTCAGCCTTGAGTATAGTACGCATTCTGCATCAGTAGGTTGGTGAACATTTTCCGCAGGTTAACCAGTTTTATACGTTTCAAAAATATGGATTACTGAACTTGGTGCAATGATTCTGAGGGTTTGTGTTGACGTGGATCTCAGAGGCGAATTTTGATAACTTCTGATGGGAATCTGCAAGAATTGTAGATGTTTTTTTGTAGTAAAGTCCTCACTTTCATGTCCTTGCTCATGGCAGCAGCTCTAGTTTTACGAGGAGCTGATGCACAGCTAAACTTCCCCAATCTGGCCAGCTCACTGCCGCGGCCCCAAGACTTGTCGGACAAGAGCATACAAGCCGCAGCGATAGAAGCTGCTCAATGCATTTCCCGGCAGATGAAGCCGCAAAGTCGTGATCGATCCCGGTGTCACACATTTGCAACAAATTCACGAACACATTCTTCACATCAGCGAGATCAAGGTATCGATTCATCACTGGATCATCAGCACTTACCAGGCAATGGTACTCAGTACAACCTGGCCACTTTTACAAGCGGCAGGAACCACCACCTGCCACAGCACATGAGTCGATCCTGCGGACACGAGGACGTCATCCCATTGACGTCAGCTCCGGCATCCAGCGACTCAGATTTATGCTGGTTACCGAATTCCTCCGCCTCTTGCACTGACATCTCAGACGTCGAAATGGAAGGTGAAGACAGAGCCAGTCCTGAGTATCCGTCCTCATTCATGGAAGTCGACCAGATGCCAAACTCCATGGCAGACTCGCTGCAATCTTCCGCTAACGACAGCGACGAGGGAACTTCGGCATACTCTTGGGAACCACGATTGTGGAGCTTCTGAGCGGCCACGTCGAGCACCGCCTGATCACTTATCCTTATAAACTATAGTATTGCGCGACTCGGATCGAAATCTTTTAATTAAAACCTACGCAATGTGTACTATCTTTGCAACTTCATCAGGTGGTCGATTTGCGTCCACATTGCGGATCTAATCAATAGCGCTCTCCTGTTCCCACTGGTGCTGTATCTGGACAGCTGGTATTTTTCTTGATAGAACTATCCCGGAGCTGCAGTTGCTATTAGAGCGCAGTACAATCCAAATCATTTTTGTTCTCAGTGGTGCATCATTTCATTTCTCGTGCCATGATTTGATAGGTTAATTTTTTTTTTTTTCAAGGGCTTCATGACTTAGTACCCAAGTATTCTGACCATTTGTAGAACAAGGTCTTTACCACTCTTTGGAACTTGTAATATGCCTGATCAATGATATGAAATCTTTGTCTTCATCTGATGCTTTATGATGGATAACCAATCTGCAGTCCCTGGTAGAGTCACTTCACATCTTTTGTAGAAGTAGATAAAAAATTGAGTTAATGAGACAGGCACAGGCGAGGAAGACATAAGCCAGAATCAGTCCATGGTCGAGGTTGAAAAAGAGGATGATTCGATCGAAGTACTCGATTCAGTACGTGACTTTTCCTGAACTTGTCAACAACAAAAATTAGCTTTTCTGACTGGACCCACTGCGCAATACTACTGATATCAGAATATCTTAGAGAAATCTCCACAAATCATTGCCCTCCATTTTGTATAACTTACCCCATTGCATCATAATTTACACATGAATCGATAACAACGGGGGGTAAAGAGGTTCAGAAACTGACAGTGTATCTTGTGAATGAATAGGTCATTGCACGGTAATATCAGAAGCTCACGTGTGTTGACGTAGACTTGAGCTATCCCTCGACAACAAGAGGCAAGGCCCAAGTGAGCAAAATGGAATGCTACAATTTCTAACGCCCCCAGCAGAAACTGAAAACGATATCCCCGACTGAGTTCCCCTTCTCTGATCCAATGCGGACTCAGTCGGTGTGGTCAGAAAAGATTTGCACTGGTTAACACGAGTCCAGGGGGCGTGCAACTCAAGCAGACGGACGAGCCCACTAGTCATCAGGTTGTGAAAATGAGCAGTGTCTGATTCTCAACTGGTGCCCCTTCGAAGCGAATGAGTCCTCGATGCAACGGGGAATCTAACGGTATGAGTGTTCGAGTCAAGATGTCACCACCTTCCTGTCATCGAAATGGACTCACGAACTTCGAATTTCCTGCTGTTTCTCTGACAGGATTTCTTTTTCTAAAGGGTCTCCAGCTCTTTTGTAACCGAAATTTTAATGCTTTATAGAATGTACAAAGTAGCAAAATTGCATTCTAGATTCTCAAAGGTCTGCACAAGGATTTGGAATTTTTCACAGCACTGGACCCCAGACGAAGCGGCATGAAGAATAAGCCTTATGCATCTTAAGTTACATTCAGATGCAGTCCAGTTCATAATTGAGTCCATAACAGCTATCAATCAAAAGAGCTATCTAAATTGATGCAACTGCACATGTTTCAAAAAACTCTTTGTTATTTCCTATTCTGAATTTTAGTTTTGTAAGAAGTATTAACTAACTTGATGTTTTTCAATAATTATTATGCTATATTAATATCAAGTTAGTTAATACTTCTAACAAAACTAAAACATCAAGTTAGTTATATAATAAAAGCATAGTTTCACATATGATTATCTAGTATTTAGAAACCAGATAATCATATGTTAAGTAATTTGAAGGAAAAAAGTTGGACAGGAAGGGAAAATGTTATCACAGGAAGTGTTAGTACTTTTGGTAGTCGAAAGAGATGACAAGTTTTGTGTGAGGTGACAAGTTTTCACCTCCTTTTAAAAAAAGTCAATATTACAGAAAGAGTAAATTATATTTGGAAATCCTCTAAGTTAAAAACATATTAATAAAATTAAAATGAAAAAATGAAAAAATGTCATATTCATCTCTTCAAGTGTAAAATGTCAACTAACAATTAATAGGATAATATTGAGAAAAACTCTGTATTTTCATAAAGAACTATATAATCAATGTTTTATTGCAAAATCTCATAATACTGATAGTGTTTTTATTTATTTATTTTCAAAATTTATTAACTCAATTTATCACAACATGGTCTAATGAAGCCAAAAAATTAATATAAAAACACTTCTATTTAAATGACCTTTCTATTAAAACTTGTTTTTTTATTATTACTAAAATATTGGAATTCTGAAACATAAAAAATATAAAGGTCTATTGGATAGATAAAAATTTTCATATGTATATATATATATATATATATGATTAGAATAGATGTAATAATTTTTAAATTTTAATAATTCTAATAGATATTAAATTTTATTAAATATATATATATATATGTATATATATTTTTTTATTATTTGATTGAAATCTGTTGTAATAAAAACCTATGTGTAAAAAAATTAATCAAAGAAGTAAATGTAATATATTGGTTTATATATTTTGATTGAATTTGGTTTTTATTGAATTACAAGTTTTAAGTTAAATTTTGATACCATTAATCTACTCTCGTGTAGATGAGCACTTTATATCTTTTCTACAAGTTTTAAAAAATTATTTCTTTATTACTTATCAATGCAAGGTAGTGACTTGTGGTAATAAATAATAAAATTAAAAAATTAACAAGATAGAGAAAACTATATTTACATATACATGTATATACTTTATGCAACCACAAAAAAAAACCTTGATTTAATGAATTTGAGTATAAAAATGTTTTAACAGTTTAATAAAAATTTAAATCTAAAAGATTCTGTAGGAAATATGCAATAACTACCAACAAATAAATAGAATATTGAACTAATGCATTTCATTTTTATTTTTGATTTACTTTGTTATGTAAGTATGTATGTATATCAAAGTAGATTGTAATGTGTGATACATTTGTTATTCCTTGTTCAGTTACTTTTTTTCACCAATTATATCCAAAAATGTAAGAAATAGTTTACACCCAATGCAAGTTATTAAAAAACTTTTTTATAAACAGTGTGTGTTTATTGAAGTACTTTCAAAAGTGATCTATGTCAGAGCAGCTGCTTAGAAAGCACCTTATTGGATTTGGTGCCAACGCTGCAGCTAAGAAGAATTTTATTCATTCTGCATTTCTTCAGTAAGAGTAATTTTTTCTTGTTATTTTAATAAATTGTGTGACGTGAAACAGTTTGGATTTTATTTTCTTTTTTAAATGATCAATATATTATCTCATTTACAATCCTAGGAATTTTGTAAAGTGTTCTTTGTTCTAATGTAATGCAAAACTGCTTTCACAATGACATAATAGTTTTCTTCTATGTTCCATCAATGTAATCTTTAAGGGAACTTCTTCACATTTTGTCCTCTTTTTTTTCTTTTTTTCAGTTTGTATCAATCAATATCATAATTTTAAGATAATTAATTTTTTGTCCAAAAAATCATTTTATTTGATAAACGAAGTATGGTGGATATTGTGGAACAAATCTTGTTTTTTGTAACAATCGACAAGAAAAATCTGAATGTTCAGTTGGTGCAAATTGATCACACAACAGGAATTCAATATTTCACTACAGATTTTAAAATACTACAACATAGTGATTCCAAATTTAAAGAACATTTGACAACAGATTTGTTAAAATACAAGCAATGCTTCTTTATTCATATACAATTTTGCTGAAAATGTTTCATTGCTAAGGAGTTTGCTCTTATAATTTACTTTAGGACTTTGCATCAGATATTCATAGAAATGTAAATCAGACCCTTTAGGACGCTATTGTATGGATACAATGAGAATCAACTCATGGTCTGTTGCCTTCTTTTCGTTAACAAATCTATGTTGTTTCGATGTTTGTTTTTCACAAAAAAAACAAGTCAAAGTGTTCGTCTTCTCTTCTTCTCACTTAAATCGACTCAATTCAACATGCATTCGTATATTCTCACATTTTCTCGCTGGACATATTTATAAAATAATCTCCAATTTGTTCCAATTTTTGTTCAGAACAAAGCGGAAACAATTTAATAAATTGTAAAACTAGACGTCAGATTGGACATATACGTGCGTAATTATACATAGTAGCAAAAATTAAATCCCAAACGAACTGCTTTTTTCAGTGGGTTGCTTTAAATAAAATGCTGCTAATACAAGCTGACAAATGGTTAGTGGATCATGTCGGAAGGACCTGGTTGGCAACCATTCTTCATGTTTCCAGACAGAATGTTGAGTTGACAACCAGTTTCTTTGATTCCACACATATTGAGAACTGTGCTGAAGTACGAATGTCAATACAGCAAAAAAAGATGGTTCATGTACATCCCTGGTAAGTTGCAGGGTGGAATTATAGTTATGTCTTTGTAAACCATTTCTCACTATCATATGCTTTTGCAGGACTTACCAATGTTTGGCGATCAATTGGGTTAGGATAAAGGGCCTACTAGAACTCATAACATTACTGAGACTACTGCGAAAACTACACTTTAGTTCAAAAACCATGAGCTGGTGGTTGTAGGGCCGTTACTGGACTTGATAAGTCCTTTGTTCTGTGAGGCGTCGCTAACCAAGGTGACAATAATTACAGACCTCGACTCATTGAAGAGACTTCAGCATAAAGCAGATTGAACGCAATGTCAAAATCAGAAGCGAGTGGTTAGACACTGACCTGGAATGCAAAAGAATCAAAAGGACAAAATCTTCGCGACCTGAAAGATGGACAATCAGCCCCTTTCAAAACTACCAAACTGACACACAAAATTGGGCATGCCTTCTTGTGTACCCATAAGTTCTATGGGCATAAAGGAATCATCCCGTCTCTGGAGGAGGCGCTCTTCTTACTCTGGTCTCTTGACCATCCGTTCTAGAATCTCTTTTTCCGCACAACGCCAGAACACTCCAAAATATTATCCTCAAGCATTTCTACAAACTTCAGTGTCAGACGAATCTTTGTTGTCACACATGGTCCAAATGTCCAATCTCTGAAGAAGAGGCCAAACCTGATATATCTAAGTGAAGTAGGTAGTGTTGGAAGTGATGGGGTGAAAAGTAGCTGCTGCACTGGAGACCCTGGTGCACTGACATTCACAATCAGTAACACAACAGGAATCTTCACAACATAATGTGGCAGTTCTGGCATATTACAGTCAAGAACATCACTGAGTATTGTTGAAGGAAATTACCTCAGAGAAATAATACTACAGCAATACTCAGTGCACCTTGTCATTGAATATGTCCTGTAACCTGCAACCAATACATATTCCATCTTTTCAGGATCTAATACAGCTTGTACAAGTTGATTCAGAACTAGTATAGGGGATTACCTCATAGAATAAGACGGGAAAATTGCATCCAGTAGATAATAACATCGGAATGTTCAGGAGAGAATTCAGGTTCTTTGATATTGCTGGAAAATCTTTGGATGTCCGTCTTTAATGATACAATGCTTGCAAAACCGGAAAAAAAGACGTAAAAACAAATACTGGCTCACATCAATGATTTTCACAATTAAGTAAATCTTTGCAGCCTACCTTGCCCAAGCGGAGTGAAACGAATGACTTTGGCAGAGCCATTTCTCTCTAGACACCCTTGCTCTTCTAAGGATTCAAAACAAATAATAAATGACTTTGCTCTATGTTAACAGTTGGCCCTCCGAAAGTTACGATGCAAACTGGAGCACCCACCTGATCACCAGTAGTCGCCACAAGAGCATACGCCATCTTTGAAATGGTGGAGGTGGTTAGCTTCTTTGGCTACGATCTCTCGTCCAGTGTCCTTTGAAATAAACTTAGTTGATATATGATAATCTATGCACACCCGAAGGTTCTTGTATGCCCGAATTGGTTTCCAAAAAGCCACATACAGCAATCTTCTCAAAACTAGAGCAAAAAGATCCTTCTTTGTCTTCCTCATCAATGTTGCGCTATACAAACCTGGTGTCAGGAATGCAACCTTCAGCTTTTAGATTCTCGACCATACTATGCATCACTGCATAAATTTCCTTCACTTCAGGGTGAGGTGTATCTCCTACATCAAAGTAATAAATATTGTAGTCAATCGCAATCCATCTGCACCCTAGTTCCTTGCGGATACCTCTTTCCTGCGTCTTATTACGCACCAATGATACCGGATCCCACTTGCCAGCAGCAGCATAGATATGTTGCAGAGATGTGCTTTAAAATGGGTGAAGGAGGTTTCACGTCTTTCAGCATTCCCTTTACCCAATATGTAGTTAACGGATTAACGATCCCAAAGTTCTTGCCCAGTGATTTTATGTTCAGAATCAGGTGCTCTGGGATTTTCCCATGCACATCCAAGTTCTCAAAAAACAAGTAGAGTATAGTTGATAAAGCAACAATTTTCGTAATCCTTAGGGCTCCAATGATGGTAAAACATAATAGAGACAGTTCACAAATTTAGCTAATTACAACTTTCAGACGTTTCGCAATAACTAGTATTGTTGTTGATGATTCTTATCCAAATCCGCAACCCACACATACCTTAACGATTGAGTTGTCCCACCTCTGAGAAGAATTCATAAAGCACTTCTTCTACAACTGTTCTATACTCTCTGCTTCACCTACTCACCTTCAACATTAAGTTTACACCCCACGATTCATCAAGTAATCCAGTTTACTTAAAATGAGATACATGGGACATTTCACACTTCCACATCAATAACATGTGTATACACTTTTGTACGTTGCTACATGCTTTGATGAACGATGGATCCTAAATTATTCAAAGAACTCAATCAAATCCACAATTTAACAAGCCAAACTAACATACTTCTGAGTTTCAAAAGACATGAACTTTACTCGAGAAGCAGGTAATCCAAGCTCCTCAAACAAAGCATCCTGTGAACAAACTTCAAAAGCAATCATTCACAAGAATATTCAAACAAATGTAATAAAAAAACCCTCAAATCTGTCCCCATGCAAGCATTTCCACATACTTTCAACAAATCCGTTCACATCCCAGCCAATCGCAAACACACGAAGGCATTACTGAACAGGCACGACTAACTCAACTTATGTTGCAATTACTAGGGAAGCTGGAGGCTCTTACGTGCAAAGTGTACGTCTTCGACAGATTGGGACCTGGGCACTGATACTCAGCCGCCTCGATTCCGTTGCCAGTATTGACCCCAAAACACACAAAACACAGGAGCCATCACAATCTCATATCTCAGGCACGTCCATGCTGCTACTCGCCAGCTCTGGAAACTTGATGCACCTTGTTTCACCCGAACGCACACCCTAATTTTCTGATATGCAACTTTCCAGGTCCAAAGGGTCTGCACCTCAGCTCAGAGCACAAAATTCAGTTGCTGCCTTCGAGTTCTATTTCTCTTTCACCTTTCCTTAGCAGCCCACATTCCAAAATCATACCCCACATTTACAATTGCTCTGAAAACAACTGCGTTGATACGGATCGCGGCAACCACCACACTTGGTTCTTCCACATAAGATCTAAATTTAACCACATTAATTGGGTTTTGGCCGGTTACTCTCCCTCCATCCCATTGTCACTCCACTCCACTCCCATGAACTAAAATGCTCAAACAATGACGATAACTGCGACCACCACACACACACACACACATCTCACATTCCCCAAAACCTTCACATTTAAACAACACGAACTCTACCGTTGCAGGTTCTCACGTCAGTGTTTCATGCACGAATTTAGCAAGTGATTTGCGAAAGCAACTCGTGCTATTCCAACTGCGAAGACTGTTTCATTGGCGTCGTCACCGACTCCCGAAGAGAAAAACTGATTTCTAGCGTCCTGCATGAAGAAACGACTGATGGACCTTCACAGCCATTCCAGTTCTGAAAGACCCCCAAATGTGGCACCTTTCCCCAAATTATCAAAGCATTAATGCATAGATTTAATTTATGGTAATCGTTTTTTTTTTACATATAAAAAACTAAATGATTTTGTAGCACCTAGTTTTACTTAAGTTTGAAAAAAAAAACAAATATATATATATATATATATATATATATATATATGTGTATATGCAAGAATTTTGAACTGGTTATACACATGCTTAGACATACCAAGCTAATGAATTTTATATGATCTTTAGTTATGAAGAAAACTAAATCACCATGGTAACAAATCAAGTGTAAAATACAACATAAAAAATTTAATAAATAAAAAATTTAAATCAAAGAAATAAACATGTGATTAATTATCATTTCTAAATTTACTACTTTTATTTGATTTATTATATTACACAATAAAATATTTAAACTTAAAAACATCTATAATTCAAATTTTGAGAAAAGAAATAGATTTTTATTAGAAAAAAATAGTGTGATAACTTGGTATAATTGTATTACTTGTTTTAAACAACTTGTTATGTTTTAAGACTTGTATTTTATAGTTATTTTAATATAAATAGTATTAGTATTTTTTTCAAAATGGTTTTTATACTGAAAACCAAATATTTTATTGTTATTGGAATAAGTTTATTAATTTGAAAAAAATTGGAATTTTCTTTTGAAACAAAAATATTAATAAAATCTTTTAAATTTTATTCTAGATGACTATGCTTATTTCAAAGTCTAGTTCTGAATTATATATTCAATTAATTAAAGTATAAATTGAAACAAAAGCATGATTTTCGACACAATTTTAATGCTCTATAAAAACCAATTTCTACTCTTTACATTATACTAACTATTATGTATGCTTACAAAAAGAATTTGAAGAACTTACAATTACTATTATTTAAAAAAAGAGTTTGTTGTTTTTATTTTATAAAGTTATTTTACTCTTCATTTATCTAAACATTACATTAGGTTATTCAATACTTATATATATATATATATATATATAATTTAGAAAATTTGATAAATGAATATTTTTTTGAAGTCATATATTAAATACATAATTTTAAAAGCATGCAAGAAGTTCTTGCATAGATATATATTACATATCCAATATCAAATTTTTACATTGATTTTTTTTATGTTGTAAGTATCTTCTTTATAATTTTGCACCTCCATCTAAGATATCTAAGATAATAACCATGAGAACATAAAAGATTTGAAATTTAATTTTTGATAAATGTATATATATATATATATATATATATATATATGTTAAAACTCTAAATAAATCAATATTATACTTTAAAATATGATTTAAAAGTTTGATAAACAGAATTTCAAAATATTTGAAATTTTTGCAATATTATGTTTATATATATACATATATATATATGTGTGTATGTGTGTGAGTGAATGTATATGCATTCTCTTGATAAAATTGTTACAAATATTTATATGTTAATTTTTACTCGTGATTTTTTATAAAAGATATATATATATATATATATATATATATATACATACACACACACATATTGTTCATCATTTGCATCAAATTGCTCAAGCAATTCTTTTGTAAAACAATTCTAATGTTAAAAAAAATTGTGTTCTACACCATTATTGTATTAAAACTAAAATATTAGTACCAAAATTTATTTGTTTCTTATTTTATGTGTATTATCTACTTGGGATTCTAATAAGGTAAACTATATTTAGATTTTTTCATTTCTTCAAGATCACACTATGTGGTTTAGTTTTTAATTTAATTCTTATAAAATAATTTATTGTTTTAGATTTTTATTTTTAAAATTTTAAATTTTAAATGCATGTATGTATGTATGTTTAATTTTTTTATCATAATAATGTTCACTTCTACATATCATCAAATATGGATCAGTAATGAAATAATAAATTATAAAACAATCAATTAATGGAAGAAGATAACAAGAGAATGAATGATTCAAGTCCATACATTGTAGAACTCTAATCCAAGTTTATTCTCCTGTACATAAGTCCTTAATATTATTCATCTAATTAATTTGACGATTTAGGGATGAAACCCAATACACTCAACATGATTGAAGTTGGGATTTGCACTAGCAACATTTCTAATGCTCTTCACATTTTCCGGATGCAACTTGCCAACCATTCGGAACTGTAGAGCGTTCCAAATTCTAAACAGCTACAAATTCTTAAAAAAGAGAAAAGAAAAAATGGGTCCAAGCTTGCTTTCTCGTAATTAAAAGGGAGAAGGAGAATGCAACCCAGCTCATCCCTTTGCAAGTTGCATTCTGAGTAGAAATCTTGGATCAATTGTAATGTAGAAATCAGGCATCAAATTGTGTATTTTCATTGTCCAATGTGTCCTCTTGTGCTTCTCCTACCGATGAGGGAATGTGGGAGGTTTCAATACAGCATTGGTTATGTCGAACTTGTGTTGATTTGCAACTTGACTGGCGTAGTAGACCGATTGCCTGGATCGGAGACTCCTCACATCGGCCACACTTTATCTCACAGAGCTATGGCAAACAACACCTTTGTTGTCAAATGTCTGAGGCAGCCTCTGCATTCCAGTCTTCGTTGTAGTGCAAGCTCCAATCTTTCAAACAGCTCGCTAGGCTTCTTGTCCGAAGTTGATCTGGTTTGGAGTGGCTTTCAGATTTCATGTTTTTGCAATCTCTGCTTGTTTTGTTTCAAGACTGGGCGTTTTGGCAAATGATGTATCCAGGGTGTATGCAATCAGAGTATGGGGATGTCATGTGAGTGGAAGCTTCGGCATGCGCAGGGGAAGCTGTGGTGATCTGGGTTGAAGTCATGTTGTCGTTGATGAGACGAAATTTGGCTTTTCTTAGACTGATTTTACATGATTAGGGTTGTCGTAGGTTTTATGTGCAGGTATTGATTTCGAGTCGGAAAAGATTTGTGCTGGTTGTATGGTTGCATGTTTCTTACTTGTCATGTACTGGAGAAACTGTGAGGTGATGTTTCTGGTCAAGCATCCCTGCTGCTTTAGAGAATTGGGAGATTGAGTATTGGGTTCTAATCGGCAGGGTTTCTGAAATTTCAGTTGTAGCCGCAGACAGAGTAACCTTTTTCGTTGAAATTGTGATGGCATTCTGTTCACTTCTGGTTGGATCCTGTTCTTTGTCTATGAGCATGCGATCTCAGGGTTTGAGCTAACTATAAGGCTGTTATGAATGCAGGTGTAATGGCTCAAATGGTGGAACTGTCTTTAAGTTCAAAGAAGAAGCAGCTTTTCTTGCTGGAAAAGATGGCATGGAAGGGCAATGTGCCGCCAGTGGGTATACTTTTTTTTTTTTGTTTGTTTGTTTTCTTTTCCTTTCTTCATTGATTTCCGCATAATCCCCGCAACCATCGTTTGAGTAAGGAAACTCATAGGTCTCCCATTCTTTTGAACATCCAGTGAATACATCTGCACCTCTGCCAGACACCAATCCAGCGAACAAAAATGCACCCATTTCTGCAAAGTCAGTATATATTGCCGTTTTACTGGACATTGGTGCGCGGTAGTATTAATATTCCCTAGTTGACTACAAAAACTCTGCCATAATTCTAGATGAGTGTCATTAATTGTTGAATTTTTAGCTTGATTAGCAGTTGTGAGGCTCCAACTCAAATGCCTTGTTTCATAAGAACGTTAAGGTAGTGAAGAACATAACCAACCTGACTTGTTGATGGTGATAACAGGTGCAGCGTGGAATCACTGGAATCAGAAATCTCATTCAGAGTTTTTCATAAATCGATGATGTGGTGACGTTGGAAAGAGTAGCTGTAGAGTATATGTAGACCTAGGATTTTTTCATTGTATATCATATTTCTGTCAACTGCTGACGTCTATTACAGTTGGGATTGCAGCATGACGGGCATTTACCAGTGGTTGGAATGAACAAGTTAGATATTCGGTGCACAACGTTCGCACATCTCTGGTATACTTGTTGGTGCACGCATAATGAATTGGTTTGCTACCCCATCTCACTGTTCACTGTGGGATGCTATCGGCAAAAACACCATCATGTTACATGTGAGTAGCAGACATGCAAAAGCTGTTCAGGTATGTGTGTAGGGGTATTTTGAAGCAGACTCAACTGAAGTGGTTAGGGTGGAGGTATAGTCATAGTCTCCTCACAAGCATGTAAACCATGGCAAGTTAAGCATGAATGTAACATGTGTAGTCAAATGAAACTCAAAATTTGCAAAAATATGAGAGCTGCCACCTGAACTAACATCAAGAAGTACAATGTGGTTGGTAACCATGCTTATAGTCAGAAACTAGCACTGACATTTAAAACGTACTATTACATAAAGATATCTTCAGATCTAGGGTTTGTAGAACTACTGTGTGGCCTGGAATGCTACAACGGCAGTAGCCTTATTCTCTTACCCGCCAGATTGACTCAGTTAAAATACACGAAGGTCAGATATGAAACATCAGAACTTGCTAAACTAGCTACGAATGCGATCTCATCTTACTCTTGCACATACTTCTATGATGCCATGTCGCAAATGATCTCTCCGTCTCTTGACACTACTCACTTCAACTTTAGGCGATAACGGAGGGAATGCCAGCGTAGTTGAGCCTCACGCCATTGACCTCCATGGTGAGTCCGTCAGGACCGTCCACGGGCTTGTCCAGTTCGAAATGCCAAGAGCAAAAACAACACGGCTTGCTGTCGAAGTTGCCCCCGCTCCATTTGTTGATGGGCCCTTGATAGCTCACTTTGGTCGAGCCCGATTCACGAGCATAGTAGAAGCTGCCCTCGCTGAAGAGGACAAACGTGACGGTGGCGCCTTCAGAGTTGGTGCCTCGCCAGGTACCCACGGCCTTTCTGAACTCTTCAGGCGGAGGAGTCTTCGAGCAGTTGCATCCCATGACGTTTGCTCTCCAATCTAACTGCCCCCCTGCACACTAACTGGTGGCCCACCTCTGCTAAGGCTTTCGATTCGACCGCCAGCTATCAACACAAAGTGTACACAAAGCTCAAGAAGGCTGAATGATCTGCACCGAACTGTGTGATCGACAAGATCAGTGCACCAACAAGCCTAGGAAATCAATATGAATAAAGTGCAAAACAAAGCCAACACAAGAGAATCAAAGCTACAATGGCAGGTGGATTGTTGACTGTGGGTCTTCCAAGACGCGGTGTAGGGGAACTTGTAGCCGTCACTTGGGGTGGGCAGTAACGGGGGCTGCGCCGACTACGGCGCTGCAACTTGCGAGCTGCACATTCATCACGTGTAGAAATGGGTCATTTTAAGAAAATGAGTTGACTTCCTTCAGTGAATTCCAGCTGGGCCGTTAAGCTTCCCCGTCGAACTACTCGCGGAATAAAGCCCCCCCCCCCCCCCCCCCCCCCCCCTCTGCCCCTCTTCATGACTGTTCATCCCCTCTGGCCACATCCTTCCTCCACCATGCTGAATGCGTTTGTGTGGTTCGTTATGCTTACTACTCTTTGCAGTGTTCTTTCTGCTTCAACTCAGCCTCCAGTCTCATTTTATAAGGGATCTCACAATATGAGGGAAGCTTGTTTGATTGAAGAATGGAGAGGCAAATTAGCGAGGGTCATCGTGTAATTCGTTGGAGAATGTGTCTAGCAAGGTGAAAGAGGGAAAATGTGATAAATTTTCTAATTTTAAGAGAATACGAAGTGTGATTATCATGGTGAGTTGAATGCACGTGAGCTCCACCTTATGAATATTCTCTTCAAAATACCTATTCGCATGTGGAAAGCAGTTTGCACTGTTCTAAAAACTCCACACTACATTCTAAGGTGACTTCTGTATGTTTCCCCTAAATGAAAAAAATTACTTCACATCATTCTCTTACTTTGATGGTTACAAATGAGAGTGCTCCACTCCAGACATCCATGAAGCACACAAGCGATGGATCCTGAGAGTGGAGATGAGGTGGTGGGAAAGGTGGCGGCTGGGTAGATGAATGTTTGAGCAGACAGCAGCCCCCGAGTATCTTAGTGTGTGTGGATGTAAAGAGGACCAATTCCAAGGGGGTGAGTGGCTTTTTCTTTGCAAAGAACGTGACTAGTGATAGGTTCCTGGAGATAAACCCTCCTGCAAGTTGGAATCTTTTGGATTATATCTGTTCCCTCCAACGATTGTTTCGAAAGGAATGAACCAGGAGTATCGACAGTAATAGGAAGGAAATCATGCAACATGTCCACTAATGGCAACTCAGATCCGGACCCTTCGATCTACCTGCATTAATAAATCTACACGTGCTAGCATATTCTACTTTGAACTATTCCTTCATCTCTGCCGTCTTCTTTACCTTCTTTTTTGTTTGAAAACACAATTACTTCTATGTTAATTTAAGATTTTTTTCTTTTCATAACAAATGTGAGGACTTTCAATAGAGTGAGATATCTAAATTATTCTTATCAAGTTACTAGATGAATTTTAATTAAGAAAAAAATAAGACTTCAAAGAAGTTGTTAAAATAAAAGTAGAATAAGTTACCTTATAGAGGATATTAACTTAGGTAAGTTATTAGTGGTCAAAGGTTTGACTCTTGGTATATGGTAAGGACATCCAATGGATGTAGGACGAAGTCATAGATCAAGAGTCAAAGTCAAAAGGATAAAGTATTAACAAAGGAATATCCAAAGACTAAGTATGAGTCATTAGTATGTGTCATAAGATACTTTCAAGGCTCATGAGATGCCAAAAGGATTCTAGGGCCATGTGTATAAAAGTTAAAGAGTGGAAGTTGTCTTTTAGGGCAATAACTACTACCTATAAGTAATGAGTATAGGAAGTGATAGATATCTTATTCCATACTCTCTTTGTGTGCAACCTTGTTGATGTTAAGTGTTGTCTTTAAAGTGCTTGTTCTTCAATAGGTTATGGGCCCACTCACCTTTACTTGTGAATTTTGAAGTATTTTGAAGTCTTTCTTGTTGTGAGGAATAGATCTTATGGTTGTTGTTGAAGTTTGAATTTGCTCTCTTCTAATCCTTCTTATGCATCTAGTTGTTGATGTAGTTTTTGCTCTTACTTATTCTTAAGTGCATTGATAGCCTTGGTTGTTGTTAGACTCCATTTAATGATGTTTTAGAACTTGAGTATTCTATTTCTTTGTTGAGTTTCATCATTGGTGCTCTAACTTTCTACTTTCATATACTTAACTTCATAAGAGATTCTCCTATTATTATAAGAAGTATTTTTTGTGGTTAGAAGGGTGATTGAAGAGTGACAAAGCTTATGCAAGAGGTTAAGATAGAGTATAAGACTTGTGAGAAGTCTTATATATGAAGTTGAGAGTGATACAAGAGTGAAATCACTTGTATAATTATAAAGAGGGCATTCTGGGTTTCTAAGGCAACAACATCTTCTTGTTGATTTTAAGAGTTCTATCTTCTCTTTTCTTGATTTTCTTTTATACATTCCTTCCCTAGACACGGCTTCAAGTGAAGCTGAGAGCTTGAGAGTGATTGAAAAGTTTAGAGGTGACAACTTTTACCATTGGAAGAAAAAAATAGAGCTTTTGTTGGCTTCATTGGACCTTTGGAACATTGTTGATGAAAGTGAAGACCCTCCAAGTGACAATGTTGATATCAAGGTGAAGAAGGAGTACAAACGTCGTGAAAGGAAGGCTTTTGGAATGATTGCAAAAAACTTTGATGATACTAACTTTTCACATATTATAGCTTGCAATGGACCAACGGAAGCATGGAAGATTCTATGCAATATCTATGATAGTAGAAAACTTGTCAACATCCTTTGGACAAGGAAGAAGTTCTTGACAGTAAAGATGGAAGAAAGAGATGACCTCATGGCTCATGTTAACAAGGTAAAAGCACTTACTAACCAAATAGCAGTTGTTGACAAACCAGTTGATGATAAGGACATTGTCTTGACATTGCTCATGAGCCTTTCCGAATCCTACAACTACCTCATTGTGGTATTGGAGTCCGTCAATATGAAGGAACTTACCATGAACTATGTCACATCAAGACTTACCCGTGAAGTGACTAAGAGGAAAAAAAAGGAGCTTGCAAGTGATGATTCGACTCTATTTTCAAGACATGGCAAAGGTAGCTATTCTCACTAACATGATAATTCAAAAAGTAATATGAGGAATTGCTATATTTGTGAAAAATTAGGTCATTTTGCTAAAAATCGCTAGAAGGCCAAGAAAGGAGATAGAGAGAATGCAAACAATGGTAGTGATAGTTTTGGTGGAGATGAGTATGCTTTCATGGCAAGGGAAGGAGCCTCTATGGCTGCTATTTCGAAGTGGATTATAGATTCGGGTGCTACTAAACACATGACACCATACAAGTATCCATTTAACATTTATGAAGAAATTTCAGCAACAAAAGTATAGTTAGGAGACAATGACATGGTGCAAGCCATTGGAATTGGTTCCATTGTGGTGGAGATTGTTGTGAAGGACCAAATCAAGAGGATCACATTGAAGGAAGTTTTACATGTTCCAAAAATGAAGAAGAACCTCCTTTCGGTGAGCAAACTTGTATCACATGGTTATAAGGTTCAATTTGATATGAATGGATGTTTTGTGAAGACATTGGATGGCGAATATGTTGCCAAAGGCCTTAGAGATGAAAATCTCTACTTCATCAATTGCAAGAAGGTGAATAAAATTGAAGTGGCGGCATTTACTAATTTTCCACAAGATCAAGACAAGTTTGGCATTTGGCATCAATAACTTGGTCATTTGAATGCCAAATGCATGAAGGAACTCCAATCCATGGTAAGTGGCTTGGATCTTGGTCAATTCAGCCATAATGCCATGACACTTGCTTGTGAAGGATGTATACAAGACAAACAACAAAAGGCTTCATTTCCAAGTGGAGTTGCAACACATTCAACAAAATTATTGGAGATTGTGCACTTTGATGTTTGTGGATCAATGAAGACACCATCAATTGGAGGAGCAAGGTACTTTGTCACATTCATAGATGACTTTTTAAAAAAGGTGTGAATTTACATCATTAAAGCTAAAAGTGAATGTTTTTCAAGGTTTAAGGAGTTTAAGGAGTT